TAGTAACCGATGGGAATGCAAAGAGGAGACCCATGGTAGATGGTGAAACGTCACCCAATACAGCTAAGAAGTGCTCTGAGAGAACCTGGAGAAAGACCCTGGGAGAGAGGGGAGAAGAGGCAACCTACTGGATCCATGAACCCGAAGGCTGAGCTGACTAGCGCACTGCAGAGAACTGTGATTAGAATATGCCGCATACGGAGCACCTGACAAGAGCCTCGTAGAACCTAGCTTAACCGCATTTTTGGAAGATTCTAGATTAATGGAGTTATAGATTCTCATTGAAAGTATCACGGATGTGATCATGGATCTAAGTTGGAAATGGATAGAACATTGCAGAGAACGGAAACGGGTATGACAAGTGGAGACGAGATGTTCAAAACTCACTTCGCTCACTCCCACGACCTTCCGACCACTCTGAGCAGCACCATCACTAGTCGGCAATGAGGCAGCCGGGGGTATCGGAACCCATGTGGCTAGCATCAGCACCTGACATGAATCTTATCACAAAGAGCAAGACAATATCAACATACCATGACACCGAAATGAATAGCAGTGAGCACAATAAAGGAGGTGTGGAAGCCACCCACTTGGAATAGGCCAGCACCTGAGTAAGACTTGTTCAATCCGAATCTCATGCGTGCAGTAGTCACCGATAGTCGGGCCAACGGCAAAACCAACATTCCCTATCAGCTCTTGGAAGGCGAATATCTTCTCTATATCTCCCGGGAACAACCTGTCCGGGATCCTCGCAGCTGTGATCATAGATACTCCATTCATACTCACCTAGCCATTATCGCAGAGGTAGCAGAATATGTACAAGCAGCTCCAACGCCTTGAACGGCTCGGAAAGCAAGGAAACTCCTGAGCGAGCCAAGCAGTAGTTGTCGGGAGTAAATGAGTGGTAGTTAAGCTACAGCTTCTACAACGTAGCGAAAACTCTAGGAGATAGGGCAGTGGAGCGCCAAACCATGATATTGATCGGGAAGCCAGACAGGGGTAACAACCAAGGATCACACTTACCAGAGCACCTTGGAGAAGCCAAAGCCAAGTGTGCCAATTGCAACAAATACGCCTCCTGCTAAGAGAACGGTGAAGTATCCCAGTAGTTGAAGGAGGTAGCCAGTGAGAGGCGCCATAATACAGGACGCACACGGCAAGAAAGCGAATACCACTCCAATCGTAGCATCCGTGAGATCTGACAATGACGTCCTCTTGAAGGTGAATGATACTGACGAATCTCTCAAGGGATTTATAGAGGTGGACTACGGATGATACTATACCATTCAAGAACCCATCTACAGAATGGGGCCACTATGCCAGAAGACTATATCTTTGAGAAACCCACATACAGGATGGGGCCGCTATGCCAGAGTACTATACCACTTTAGATTTCATCTACAGAATGGGGTCGTTATGCCAGAGGACTATGCCATCCGGGAATCTATTCACCGAATTGGGCTGCTATACCAACGATATGAGACACTACATATGCCAGCGAGGACATCAAGTTTGCCCGCGGGTTCATACAAAGGAATCATAATAGCGAATAAGAAACTCGATATAGTGATGCGCTTTGAAGAAGGATTCCAACTAAATGACTGAAGAGAACAATTTCGCCGATGCGAGCATCAAATTTCGCCGGATCACAGCTAGTCAGTACGATGTGGATAGAGCAGTCTTTCCGTCGCTGAGTGACAGCTCACGCGGTAATACCCTCGCAAGAGTTTCATGTTTCACTGAGACAGTCCGAGGAGTCTAGGCGCATCATAACGTTATTAACCTTATAAGAGTTTCAGACCCCATTATTCATACTTTCACTTACCGAGTTCTTGCTTGGCGTAGACTGGAAAGAAAGGAGCAATTTGATATAGTAGAGTTATCGTAACGAAGTAGGCTGTCTGGCAGAGGACGAGCATCCATCGTCTCTTAGCACGCTGAGCTGATGTCAATCGTGTGGGGGGCGCGTTGTCGAGGAGAGCTCGCCGAATATCAGAGTTCGAGCTGTTGCCATCCATGACGATTAAAGAAGCAACTTTTAACTGTGAGGTCAAAAACAGTATTACAGCAAGGTGGTCGCCGTTGCGCAAAAGATAGACGGTTACTATAAGATAGAGGTATGGTGAATAGCCGACCGATGAATTCTGAAGTAATAATTTGGGTCGATACAACGTTAGATGTGTTCATTACACACTTCCCACATAGTGCGTGAATCCTTACACATTATTTATTGGGAAACATCATTTCGCCCCCTCTCACTCACATTCGATCCTTTCCTGACATCCAGCGAAATTTGCCCGGTATCGAGAATGCTATTTATCATCTGAGCCGAGCCAACACTGTAAAATGATTTTACTAAAATCATCTACCAGTACCCATACATTCCAAAATAGCTACCGAGACCCCACTACGGGTGTACAAATATCAATTGTAGTCGTGCTAGTAGCATAAACTACATATGAACACTGATAACCATTACTCATCCAAACCCATCTACTAAGACTTCGAACCCAACACAACTACCCTGTTGAAACTAACCCTCTTCAATAGTACACAAGTAAGCCGCCCTCTACGACAACACAGCCTTCTCCAACCATCATCCCTCCTCCAGCCTGTGTTGACAGCATGAGACCATCGAATACAGCAGAGGTTGGACCTCCTTCTTTTTACGCCGGGATCCGCTCGATGTGCTCCTCAGAAATCGGTCTACCCGTTTCGGCGCACATACCGCATGATACCGCCTATGACAAGATCTCACATAGCATTTCACCCTAGCATCGCTGCGAACAATCGGTTCCCCACATCCACTGCACTGCTGTCTCCTCACATGATAACCACGCCTGATGGACGGACCCGATAAGATCACTCGAAGGTAGCCCTGGGAATCCTTCGTCATCGACACTCCGCTGATTGACAATCCACACAATAAATGGCACCATCGCTCCGCCGAACCCGACTCCTCCATCATAGGCACCAATACACTCCTTCTAGCAGCATCACACGGACAGAGGGAACACTTAGGTCGATTAGAAGCCTCTTGAGAGCATGCCAGACAGTGCCCCTTACCAGTATTCCTGTTGTTCCAGCCCAGGAGAGTTCGGCAAGCCTCATGCAGACATACACCGCAATCAACACACTTGAAAGATGACCCCTCGCAGTCGCTACCACATACTCCACAAGCACGATACGATTCACTCAGAGTCATCTTGAAATCCTGTC